GTCTTGCCACATAATTAAACAGAAAAAGCCCTACCCCAAAATTTCATCTTAGACTAGCAAATTAAAGATTCCCTGTGCCACTCTGCCTCCATACTATTCTGGATAGACCACTTCAACAGGAAAGAAATTATTAGTTCATTCAGAAACCCTATGTATTCAACCACTGATCTTTTAAATCACTTTTAACATTTTCAGCAGTAGTGGTAGATTTGTAGACTAGACACTAGGGATGAAACTATTGGTCTAAAGGTCAATGACAATGCTTTCATCAGCTTCAGTGGGAGCAGAATCTTATTCAATGTTACTTCATTTTCGGTTGAGCAATTCATTTTATGAAGGTTGCTAAAAAAAAAAAAAAAGACCTCAAAATATGTATTATAATATACAATACACATATGTAATAACTATGTTTTTATTAACTCCTTGACTTATGCTGTATGTTTTTGTTCAATTTTTTTCTATATATGACTAATTTTAGCTTACTGTTGGATACAAAAAAAAAATATGATGGACTTAAAAGTTCCAAAATTTCAGAATATATAGGAAGATTTACACAGCACATTCTATTGAAATACTGAGGAAAAAAATAACCAGGTCAAATAAAATATAACTACACAGAAGCAGATGACTTCTTCCTTTATAATGTTTAGCCATTATTGATGTCTCAATATGTTTCAGCTCATTTTTCCCAATACAGAAGGGAAAAGTGTCATTCTAAAAGGTAATCCTAAAATGTTATGACATCTATTTTTATGTAGGTATTCCTTACTAATGAAAACTAACTTCAGAAAAACAGAATATACCTGGAAAGTTACTACTTGTAGGATTACATACACTACTCAGGCCATTTAAAACAATTCCTGTTTAAAGTTTAATACTGCTATAACAACTCCATTTGTTACGGGAGTTGCATAAAATTCAAGATTACAAACTAATCCTTTCATGTTTATATTGCAGCCTATCATTTTTATGGACAATTATTATTAAAAAATCCTTTCACTCAAATCTCATATGCCAAGTTTCATGCTGAATTTTTGATGCTGAAAGCCTAGATTTAGAATGGAAACAGTCAATTCTGTTGTAGGGTTTAAATCTGACCTTTAAAAAAGAAACAAAGAAAGGAAAGGTGTTAATAACTGCCCACTTCTTCCTCTCAGTTTACTATTGGGAGAATATTAATAACGCACAAGTGATTTAGAAGTCTTAAAACTATTTAAATGGGTAAGTAAAAGAATGGTTTCCTCACATAACTTATTATAGTTAAAACACAAAGTAACCTTTAATTTCTTTTTAAAAATTATAGTTTTTCTCTTCTCCATAGTCCACATCTGTAACCCCCCACCAACCAAAAATGTAGCCCCCATGGAATCAAGTGATATGAGCCTTTCATATCTTAGTCTACTCCTTGGTAAATTAGACCAAAGCCTTCAGAACCAGGTGCTGAAAGTAGGGCTCCTAAAGTCATGTACAACAAACACCAAAACTATAGATGGCCTGATTGTCAGAAATTCTTAAGTAAACCTGAGCCACAGGTGCTCAGCACCTTTGCACAGCAGGCTAGTAGTAATTTAAGTGTCTGAACATCAGTTGAGGAATCAGACTTTAAAAGCAAGCAGGCTGGAAGATTTTCAGATTTTCTCAGCACTGGCTCAACATTGTCCCCAGTGAAGTCATTTGGGAAATTTTGAGAGTAGTACCAGCATTGAGCCCTTTTGAAAAATGTGTAAGTTTGAAGATTGTGGCCATAGTCTATAAACATAGGAATCAAGGAGCTGGGACTAACAAGAAATACAGTTTAATGCTTCTGCAGATTAGAAACAAGAGTGGCTTCAAAATGCACAAAGTAAGCTTCTTGGTGAAATGAAGTATTTGATGAATGCAAGAAACTGAAGAAAAGACATAGCTTTAAACAAGGCAAATGGGAAAAGCTGGTCTCAGAACCCATTGTGCCATACCTGACTTCAACATGTGGTATGCAAAATGTTCACACTTTACATCAAAATAAATGAAACAAAAATATTCAGGTACATTGTACAAAAATTCTCATTTTTATATATACACACACACACACACACACACACAAAACCCCATATCTAACAGATTTACCATACCGAATTTTAAAAAGTTGCTTGTAGAATGGTGTTAGATTTTTTTTCTCTGCTTTAGGCAGTGCTGTTGCTTTGAAGTCAACACCAGGCACAATATTTTGAAAACAAAGCCAACTAAGCAAGGAGCACTATACGAATTTGAACTTTTTTCTAGTTATCAGTCCTGAGGATGCTGCAGTAGTCCCAATGTTTAAAACTAGGAGACTAGGATCAGTGCCCGGTATATTTAGGTGCCCATCTATTTATTGTAAACAACTGTGGTACCTCAACTTTCCCCAGTTTCCTTCCCTCCCCTACCAAAAAAAGGTTAATCAAAGATTTTCAAAATCTGCACATTCAAAACTGCTCAAGTCCTTGACTTTGTAAGCCAAGAGTCTCCATCCATAACACACACTGACGTGTGTATTAACATTTGTAAGATACATGTGCTTTTGTTTAAAAGTGTTGCTCGCCTTTAGACTAATCAGTTTATTACTGATAATGTTCCAAATTACTTGTATTTTAAAAACCACAAATGAAAACAAAATCATTATAAGGTAGCAGCATTTCTGATCACCTGAAATGGAAGCTCAATAAAGGTAGTGCTCCTTGTTGTTGGAAAAAGAGCAGGGCAGTGGGGAGCAGAATGTATGGGAAAGAAGTGGCAGGGGGAAGAACATGTAAAATTTGGGTAAACATACCCCAAGTGTGTGCCAACTGAAACACAAACACCCATTTTCACAGAAGAGGCTTTGTGCAACATCTATCAAATAGAACAAGTCTTAAAAATTACACAGGATTATGGACGTTCTGAAGAGTGCATTTAGAAGCAGAGAAAACCCAATTAAACACCTTCCTGCAACAGAGTGTCTCACTCAATTATAAATCAAATGAAAATTAAAAAAAATAAACCTAAGCTGTTTACAATGTTTCCCAATTTATTCCCTCCCAAACATTACAAAAGTTTATTTTATTATTATTAATAAACGGGCTCCTCTGCAGTTCATATACAATCATAGGTGAACTTTAAATTCCGTTTTATACAAACATCTCAAAAATATTGGGAGTGAAGTATGGTAGGAAATATTGCTCACATTACTAGTTAACATGCATGTATGAAAGGAGGAAAATGGTTTGTTAGTGCATACCTCCAGAGCAGAGAACCTACCCCTCCAAAGAGATACAGTAGCTGATTACAAAAAGGTAATGTCCACAAAATTAAGTTTTTCATGCTATTCTACTTTCCAGTACTATACTCTAATTACTTTTTCAATTTATAAGCCTGGCAGGGTGTTGAACACTGAGGTATATAAAAAGATACCTGCACCTTGAGGAAAATCCATCTTTAAAAGGTTTTTTTTGGCGTTGCACAAAAAGACATTATTTACATTAATTTCACTCAACTACAGTAAATGTCCAATTTATATTAGACGATAGAGGATGCCTCCATTTTTAGGCACTTCTGAATGGGAGTTGTTGTTCTGCTAAACCAATCGTTACATCCCCCGCCCTCCCCCCCAGCAAAACAAAAATCAGGATAGATTTTCTACTCTAGCCCAATTGATTTTCTATGGATGACTTCCTGTATATAAAAATGACAAAAGGAATATTAATTAAAGAATGGTGGAACAGCCTAAAGTATCAGTTTTGCAAGACAGAAGATGGCTCCTTAGTATTTAAAACTAATTTAACAATTTAGATTTGATTTTTAAATATATGAATGAGACATAAATATAGGCTATCAATCTGTTTAAAAATTTCATTCACATAATGGAAAAAATTCTTATTTATTAAAAATATCACATTTTGAGACTAGAAACAGTAAAGTGCATGAAAAGTTTAAAATATAAATTCAAGAAAATCTTATAGCAGCAAAAAAGCAGAATAAAGAAAAACTTAAAAACACAGACAACCTTTTCTTATTATTGTGCCATTTTTTAAACATTTAAAGCAGCCTACTAAATTCTTTCAGAAAATTGCATTATGTTTACTGCCTCTTGAGGCACAAAGTTTTGAACTGGCCACCTAGAGCATAAATGAAAAGATTCCAGCACAACTTGAGAACATTAATAGTTGGGAATGAACCAGTAGCTTTTTAATTCAACCCTAACCAACAAAGAGAAACAACGATTATTAAAAGCATATGATGGCTATTTGGCAACTAGGGTCAGGAAAAATAATCCAAGGAATGACGATGGCTACCACTCTCTCCTCCCCCACACACACAAAAACACCTAGACAGTTATTTAACATGCCGTTTGGAGACAGAAGTAAGATCATTTCCAGAGATGTTTTTCCTGTACCCCTAGTTTGACCAGTTAAATCCAATCCATCTTTGCAACTTAACTTTTCGAAAGGGGACCCAAGGATAGGGTTGGAACAAATTTGCTCTTGCAGAACACAACTCAAAAAATTCTTGCAACAATTTTTAAGTGCAATTTCTTAACTTTATTTCTGAAGTCCTGTTCCCATGCTATGTTGCTGAACAGCTTCCTGTCTTGGTTTGTCTAAGATGACTGTTTAATAGAGTTCGGGTTGATAAATTTCTTAGTCAGAAAAATAAAAAAATTATGTTCTTCAGAGTTCCAAGCAAGTTACCAATATGTCTGCCAAGCAAGAGAGTTTTATACAGCTTTAAATGCTCAGATCTAATTGTTCTGATGGCATATTTCCATCGTAGTGAATGGAGATACATCAGGAGATAATTTAGCCCTCAAATTTCAATAGATATATGCGACCATCTTTGGTTTTAAAACATTAGCTAGATGGGGAGAAGGGAAGGGCTACACTGTTAATAATTTACAGTCAACATTAAGTGCTTTGCTGATGTGCAAAATTTGTTTTGGGTGCAGCACTCATATCTCTGAGTCCCGAAAAAGTTAGTATTTCTAATTATTTGCCCTACAAAACAAGTCCTTTTCATTCAGTTCTAAGTGTTACATATTTTCCTTCCTTTTAAAAATGGCTCTTTTTGCTACAATTTGGAATAAAGCATTACATTTTAGATAGATTAATATGCAAGTTTTCAATCTGATGCGTCTGTTTACAAATGCAGTTTCCAAATGAAACAAAACAAGCTTGCCAGCTTAAAAATTAAATTAAAAACCTGAAAAGGGAATAATACTTTGGTTCCAGCCCTAGTGCCAAATGATACCAATATGCACCAAAATGTGCAAAGTCTCATATCAAACACACAATGAAAGGAGCTTGAAGAAGCAGCTTAAGGTTGGCCATACTTCACTCCTACATACTTTGATTTACAACTGTACAGGTCCATAACAACAGGTCCTAGCCCTCTAAGGGGCAGGGCTCCACTACCTCCTGTTTGGTAAGTGAACACCGTTGACAAGAGGCAGGAGTGGAGGGTGGAGTTCGAGGTGTGTTAACAGTGAGAAGTGGTCTGAAGGGATGTGAGGGTGAGGACACCCAGTGATGTTGTTCTCAACCAGCCACTGAGGATCCAAAGGCCCGAGGACACCAAGCACGTTCATATGAGTGTTGGAATAGAAAATGTAGTCAATTACACCCTAGAAAAAGAGAGGACAAAAACAAAACAAGAATAAAAAGATTTTGTTAAAACAAGTCTCACATCCTAGTGTAGTTTTCTAAACACAGATTTATTTTAGCACAAAAAAATCCCCCACGCTCGTTAACTCCACTCCACAGTTTGTAGGGAGACAAGCAGCAATTAAGCACCACATATTGCAAGATACATAGTGGAGACTGCATAGTCAAGCAGGGTGGAATTATGGAATGCAATATCTGATGTACAAGATGGGGGAACCTGCTGCTGTATCGTTTACATGTAGTCTATATAATGATACAGCTTTTTGACTGATCAAGTGCAAAGCAATAGAGAATATAAAGTATGCAATTGTGACTACTATCTTCCAAACAGGAATTTCCAAGAAGTTAATAACCAGCTGGCTAAAAATCAGCACTAAGGAAGTCTTGAATACCAGGCCCTGTAGGTGGTTACTAGCTACCAGGAAGTGTTAAACCTACAGGCCTACTACTGTTTGAATATTGTTGCAGTGAGTCTAAAAATAACATAGTACTATTGGGCATAATTGTACAACATGTACAGAATATTCACAACAGGCTAATGGTCACACAAAACCTGTCATCTTATTATTGACTCTGAAGAATGTGCTTAAAAGCCATTCACTGACACCCATGGCATTTACTAGTCCAGACCCATTGCTGTCACCTGGGATCACACAATGGAACTTGTGGCTCCTCACTCCTGTGTAAATTGTGCAACAATTTAGTGCCTAAACCAGGGTAAAAGTTAGGGCTTTTTGAGAATAATGAGCTGCCAAGTAATAGCAATCCTACTGCACTTGAATGTGATGATCAAGGAGGGAAGACAGTATAAAAACAGTAACATTTAAGCTTTAAAAAAGCAGGGAGTCAAGAGAAGCTAAGAGAGAGGCTGAAACACGAGTAGAGAATATAGAATCCTAAGGATTTTCCTAATATCTCCTAAGGAGCAGCAGGCTCAAAAAAGCTTGTGTACTGCTGAACAGGAGAAGAGGTATGATGTTAACCACTTCAGCTCAGCAGTAGAGTTCAAGTAATCATTCAAGACTTCAAATCTAAGCTCAGGGAAGACAAAAGCAGAACAGCCAACATAAAAGATGGAGGTTAGATGGATTAAGATGAAATTCAAGGTATATCAAGAAATTCTGCAAGCACAGCAGAAGCAGGAAGCAACAAAAAAGTGTTCAAAGGATCACGAGAAAGTAGATAACAATGAATGTCAGAATAATGTAATTCAATACTAAAAGTGATTAAACTGCATTCAAGTTTACCCCAGAAGCTGTCAAGGGAGATCTGACCCAAATCTACTTTTTACTGGTAACGTATTAGCAGAAATTCAGGCCTCAGAGTGAATTGATAAATATCAGTAAATCAGAAGGTACACACCATATTGAGTTTCTAGCAAAAATTTAAAAGGCGACATTAAAAACAGCAGCTAAATCAAGGATTAGAGAACTTCCAGTATACCTTACTTAAGATTAAACTCTAAGGGTCTTCCAAAGAAATACAAGTGGAAGGCTTGCTGTCATGTATATCTGGTAAGCAGGTTGAGCCAGATCCTTTGAAGGATGCCACCAGGTGGGAGGAGGTAAGTTAAGTATGAGGAGGTAAACAGCTAAGCACAGACTCAGGCTTATCCCTGGCTGGCCAACCTCCTACCACCACTGCCTAGCCCCTCTGCAAGGAGGTAAGCACTGTAACACAGTGGTTTTCAACCTTTCTTCACTTGAGGACCCCTAAAATGTTTCAAACAGAGGTGCAGACCCCTCTGAATTCTAAGTGGGGATATTCATATATTTCTGATTGATCAGTCATCTTTCACAGCTCCCTTAGACAGGGGATTCCAGGTTGAAAACCACTGCTATAATATATGAATTAGTTTTTAAAACTGAGTACCACTCAATTCACAAGAGTTATGGAGAAGTGCCTCAAGTCCAGACAAGCTGAGAACCACTGACCTAGTAGTGGGTGTCCTCACTAGCCCTACTTCTATAAGAGGTGATTAAGCAGCTGAATTCTTGCCGTGAAGAAATTTAACAGTAGGGCACCACATAGTTCCAGACAAAGACTAATTTTAATTCAGTATAGAATACCCAAAAGTGTGAAAGAAGGCAAAACAGTAAGTTTACTTATCTACAAACAGTTTAGGTTAGCTAGCTTGAGAAAGGAGTGAGAAGAACTTCAAAAAGTACTAACCAAGAGAACGACGTGGGCAAGATTGGCATGTGAAAATCTAGATCTGCTACACAAATTGTAAGCACATATTGAGGAGGGAAAAGAATCTCAAATATTAACACACACTACTGATTTCCAAGTAACTTCACGATGTAAGAAAATGTTGTTGACAGCTTAAAAGATTTTTTTCTGCCAAATGTGCATCTGTAGTCCATAAGCAAATATGGTTAGGAATAATTTGAAACAGAATAATTTAGAAAAATATGCTAGTAAATTGGAAGGCAACAGGTTGCTTTCCTTTGGAACACTACACTCAATATTGACCACTTCATCATATAAAAAAGTATTACAGAATAGAGAATGTTTCAGACACAAGGAAAAAAGGAAACTGAAAAAGATAAGATAAAGAATACTCACCTGGCAAGGAAGTGAACATGACAGAACAATAAATGGAAGAGATGTGAAGCATGTCTTCTTAAGTCTTAAAACATGAAAAAGGAGGCAGGGAACTTTCAACATATTTAAAAAATGGCAAATTCAAAGCCTATACCGGGGTAAGCAACGTTTTTTGGCCAGAGTGCCAAAAAACCCACAATGTCTACCTTGGAAGGTGCTGGAGTGCTGACATGCCGGAGCCTGGAGCAGCTGTTTGCAGCCTCCTGGCTGCAGCCGGGCCAAGGAGCCCTGTCTGCTTGCAGCAGGGCTTGCAGCCTTTCAGCTTCCTGCTGGGAGCAGCCTGGGCTCCGTGGCTGGCAGCAGCTGCTTAGAGACTGGCTGGTGGTGGCATACCGAGCAAAATGGCTTTGCATGCCATGCTTGGCACGCGTGCTGGGAGTTGCTAATCCCTGGCCTACACAATGAAGTAACTTATTCACAACACAGACTGTTACACTGACGCAGGATAACATTAAGATCCAAAAACTTGGCTAAATTCAAAACGACTAACATTTTTAAAGAATGCGGAAAAAAAAATCTAAAGGAAATATGAACAAAACCTTTGCAACAGCAATTGTAGAAATAGCTGTCATTAAGTACAAGGCATGCTCTACTACACAGCCCATGCAACTTTGATGAGCCACTGTACTGACCCACTTACTTTGAAATCAAAAGTGTAATTGGTGTAAGGCATCAAGTTGTTTTCATAGGCGCTCTTAAGCTGGAAGCCATGTGTGATTCTTCCTTCAGAAGCTCCATTTTTTCCGTTACCACTGAAGTTCATGAGACACTCATTGTAACGCAACTCTCTGAAGTCCTTATGGTTGTCAGCTACTATACCATTGCTTAAGTATTCCACAACACCTGTTTTCAAAATAAAGATTTAATTACTTGCTTTAAATCACTATTGAACTATACCACACCACACAAAGATCTTTCTTATCTTTGCAGTCTAAGTACAGATACATCTGACAGCCAGGGATTTTTTCCCCTCCTCCCTCCAGTCTCTCTGGGAAACGTAGGAACTTCTTATTAGCTGACGTAGCATCAAAAAGCTCTCTGACAGCTTTGGACAGGGGTATTAAAAAAAGCTTAAGATGAAAGAAAAAAAAAAAAAAATCAATCAGTATGGTGGCAGCCAGCAAGTATTTTTGCACAACTAAGCATCAAAAAGACTATAGCATATCCATTCATTTCATTCCTCATTTTATTTTCCCACCCCCCAAGTGCAACAAACCATAAATTTATTCTTAACTATTTCTATTCTTCAAGCATTCATTTTCACAAGTGTACCACAATTTTATACAAGATTACTACTATATCTAAACTTGTATTTAAATATATCAGTGCTAGAAGTTTGATGCACTATACTCCAGAATTCTTACCATTTTTTTTTAGAAGCACAGCAAATACTACAGTAGTTCATGTAATCATGGAAGATTATTCTAATGGAGTTATTGGTTTTGGAAGTCTGTATCAAGTTCTATAACAGCTTTTTGCCAATAAAAGATTTTATCAGTAAGTGATGAGGTGCAAGCACACCAAACATCTTGAGTGGAAAGATGACCCAAAAGCCACCTTCTAGTAAAAAGAATAAAATCAATAAGAAGCCATTTCTAAATACCTGAATCAGGCAAGGAGTTAAGATCCGCACACAGCACCAGAGGAATAGAATTAGGATCTGCTGTTGGGCTACCAGGCCTGCTAGAGGCTCTCTCAAGGATATTTTTCAGTTCTGAGACAAACATCATAGTCTGAATAAGTTTCACATCTGAGTATTCAGGGTCCCAGTGCATGTGGGCATTTGCCACAATAAGCAGCTGTCTGTCCACAGCATGAAGAGCCTTTATACCTAGATCAACACAATTGGTACAAACATGTTGGTTGCGTGAATGTAATGAATTCCCTTTCCATATACAACAAATATGTTAAACTTTGCATGGTTATCAGCTGGAAGTTGACAAATTAGTGAATGGAGAATCTCTGACTTCCACTGAAGAAGTTTTTCTCAGAGACGCAACACATTCTATTATTTGCTTACAGATCTCAAATATTAACTTTTCAAAAGGCAAGGGGCAAATTTTAAACAAGAAACACTGTTAACCATCTCATTTGATATAATTACAAGTCCTTTCAAGGATATTAAAATTAAATGTCAACTGCTAAGTCAAGCTACATCCTTCAAACACTAGTATCGTTATGTGAATTGGCCACAATAAACAGATAAGAACACAAAACAACTACAGTGATAAAATGACAGCACTGCTTCTATAAAAGAAGATACCATCTCTGGAATACACTTCAGGGAAACCTTATTCTAAAGACATTGACCCCTACTGTTAAACTATTTTTAAAATATTCCACCTCTACTACCACATACTAGATAGTTTTAACTCACTGCAGTATGTTTACTCCCTCCTAGGTGCTATAGGATCTGGATGAGTTTCAGGTTCTCTTAATAGGATTTAAAGCAAGAAAAGCCACCTAAAAATGTAAACGCCACAACTACTCCTTGTTTAAAGTGTTAGATGGAGAATGTCTGCCTTTCTTTCTTGTAAAAAATTGTTTTCTAATCTGATTTGGGCCTTTCCCTAGAGTCATATAAAGTCCTACTGTAGCAACAGTGAAGCCAAGGCTACTATTTGTTCAAGACTGGGGAAACTGGTGACCAGCTAGGAAATAGTTTCATAAAGAAATTTACTCATTCCAGGGCTATATTAAAAATCCCAGAACACTGAAGGTGACAAAGTCATATATCTGAATGCTTTTTAAGCAATTTCACTCGCTAGTCATCCTTCATGAAAGGCTGTTTGAACCTAAGTCCTTTCCAGTGAGTTATTCAGTACCACCCATTGGAGATGTGAGAGAGAGAGAGAGAGAGAGAGAGAGAGAGAGAGAGAGAGAGAGAGAGAGAGAAGTAAGACACTAAATAGAAAGAAAAGCAAGATTGCAGAATGAAAAGCTGAGCAACAGCACCTAGTATTGGCAGGGGGGGTTTTTTTTGTTTGTTTTTTTTTTTTTTTTAGGGCTTTTTTTGGTTTGTTTTTTTTTACATGGACATGCCTGCCTAAGGAAATATGTTCAATAAGTAGGGGGGAAAACTGAACTCAAAAACAGGTAATAAGATGAACTTGAGAGGAGAATACCAATTGTAACCGACATTCAGGTTAAGCAGCTAACAGAAAACACCAGTTTTCAAAAGCCAACTTGTGTCTTCTCTCTCAGGTAAGAGGTTTCCTGTTTTGTAGGAACTATTATCAGAGTAGCTAACTCTATGGTGTCCCATTCCAAATATTTAAGGAGCAAAGTCATATGAAGGCATACTCTACACAATTTGATAAAATAGAAGTCATTCCCACCTCTAACTGGACCTTGCCCTTTTCAATCTGTAGGACAGCAGTTGTCATACATACCTGTTGCAAATAATTCTTTGTGCACCTCTAGCACCACAGCAACTCCAATGTTGTCCTTCGTCATGACTCTGTTTAGCATAGCTTCTGAACCTTCAGAGTTGGCCATTGCTACCTGGTTGAACTCCACGGTGTCCTTCTGCACCAATGTGAATCTGAGTAAACACACAAGCACATGTAAGAATGTCCAACATGGTCATTTAGCACACAGCTGCATTATACACCTGCTGAAGTTTAAGACTTTTTTTTTACAGCCACAGTTTTTCAAAGCCACATTCTCATTTGGGGCTTCTTTGTGCAAGAGGTACAGGAGTTATCCTTACCTCCACTCATTTTCTCATTCTAAAAAAAAATTTCCCTTGCCTTTCTAAGAATTTCAGTGGGTGAACTTCTTAAGTCAAATTGGTTGGCTGACTCGAATACAGCCACGGAGAAGACATTTGATCTCTTTTACATGCCACGGAAAAAGTCTACGTTAATCGCAACTAAGCTACTGTATTTACTTAAATATAAAGACAAGCCCCAATAATTAGGTTCTAAATATATTATAACAAATTTATAAATTTCATATTTCAGGTACAGAATCTAAGTATTGGAGGGTTGTTTTGAATCCCGCTCCAATGTTACGGCAAGGAAAGCAGTGGCTAGGGGGTTGGGACAGAGGGGGGGCCTTGCCCTCTACCCTGCCTTTCTTCCTCCTGCAGTCTGAAAAAAAAGTGAAACACTCTGCAGCAATCTCAGTATTTTGTTTAACAGCATACTAACTTGATTGCCACTCCTCTTGCAAAAAACACTTTCCCTCCCCAAATCCAAGATCAATATTTTGAGTGCCATTGTTTTATTCCTTATGTTTTGCTTGTGGATGAAGTTGCTTGGCTCCCTTACTTTTCTGTCTTGAAGAATATTGCACAGCCGTCCACATGCTTTTTCTCCTGCTCAGACATGATTTTGGCACGTGACTTTGGAGAGAAAAATCCATCATATCCACGTTCTTTTAATGCTGGCAGAAAGAGAATGAAGTATTGCTCTGTTTCCACTTCCTGGAATTGAAAACAATTAACATTACAATGAAGAAAAATCAACAGATTATTAATATGAACATCCCCTCAACCATACCCCTCCCCCTGAGATGAAAATATATTGCCAATGAGTAACTTATGCCAAAACCACAGATTCATATTGCTTACAGAGATCACATCATATCACATTCTATTAGCTGTCAGATAGATGGAACGTATTTGGATTCATGCACATCAGAAGTAAAAGGAATTACAAAAGAAAGGAAAGTAACAGGTGTATTTTGGGTATAAATAGGAGATCGTCAGCTGTTTTTGACATCTGAAAGAGGATACTATCCTAGGTTTGTGTGTCAGATTTAGATATCCAGCAGCCACTAATACTGAGCTTTTTGAACTCTTAGCAAATCTCCCCTGTTCAATAACAATGTTTGATCTCCACTGAAATACACCGCTTGGGTACTAGGCTTAGCTTGAGCTTTTACAAAAGAAGCCAGCCATTCTCTTCTTGTGATTTTTTTTCCTGCTCAACTAGCAGAGCTGGTTTAAAAGTGAAGCTTAGAACATTTTTAAAGCAGCAATAGCCAGCTAACCACACTGAACATTTAAGATGAACACCTACAACCGAGTTGGGAGCACAGACACAAATCGGGCACAAATGCTTAACTTCAAGCATATCAATAGTTCCCTTGATTTCAGAAGAATACCTTCATGCATGTGCTTAACATGAATAGTTACTGCACAGGACAAGCATTATAGCAAATTAATTTAACAACACACTTCTTCCAAACAAAGCTGTTGCTGCTTCTCAGCCAAATCCATTACTGTGCAAATCATCAACAAGGAGTTAATTTATTCTCTAATATAGAATTTTCAATGTAAAATTATGATTAGATTTTCTAATTTTGCCTTAGTTGTTTAACAGAGTTAACGAACAGAAACAAAATATGAATAAGCTATGTATATATTTTGTAATGGTAAATGTTTTGTTAAACAGATAGAGAACAATGCTGTGAATACAATGTAGGTCCAAAATACACAAATTAACTGCTCCTTCATTTTAAAATGAAAGCCAAAAAAGTGGTTACATTTACCTGAAGACTAATGATATCTGCATCACAATGTACGATTTCTTCCATGATTCCCTTTTTCCTATACTCCCAATTTAATGCCCAGGATGGGCAGTAGCCATATAGCTGCCGGGTGGCATATTTATCACACAATACATTGTAACACATAACTGTGAATGAAGCTAGGAGGAAACATAAGGTGGGAATATTATTTATAAAGGTTGAGGGAAAAATAATACAAACTTATTGAGAGACTAATCCTACCATATTTTTGCATGTTTCTTTACTTGAAGTTAAGAAAGTGTTTCAAGTAAGTTGCTAGGCTTTGCTCCTAGAGTTTCACTAACCACTGTCGTAAGAATCCTTCAAACTTTGTTACTGGCACACAAGGTTAAACTTTGAAAAAAGGATCTAGCTTGGATGTACAACATATGCCTTTGCTTGCACAAAGAATAACAGCTCGTAGAATCTGTGGTCAGTCTGCCGAGCTGCGCCAAGCAGTTACCAGTCTTGTGCACACTAAAGCCTGAGAATAATTAAAATGAAATACAAAGACTGGATTCGTTCAGTTGCAAGCGCTTACAACCCCCTACCAACTTCAGCAGCTGTTACAGGTGCAACTGACAAAGACAACTGGGTCCCTATATAGCCATTTTGTTGCTCATCAATATCCAAAGAATCTGTGCTGGATTTCTGTTTGGGAAAAAGGAAAGGGTAGAGCTGTAACGATTGCTAATTGAGCCAAAGACCTAATATTTATTGTTGCTGCTACCCTGAAATGACAGCTTCAGGTTTAAACATATATAATTATATAGCATCATAAAAGCAATTTGTCAGAGTATTTGCAAAATGTTTCAACAATATTCCTTAGTACCCAATAAAAGTATGTGTACTGATATATTATAAACACTGTATGCCACTTTCCAAAGCATTACTGCTCTGAATCTTATTGGTTCTCAGCAAGAAATTGGCTATAAAGATACCGAAGCACATATTTTTATTCCTAATAAACCAGCAGATTTATTTTCCCTCTTTCTTATGGTATAAGCTCATTGGGACTAAAGAGGGAAAAAAAATGAAATCAGATGTTTTAGACTTGAAGCAACGTTTGAGGATACAGCAACACTTTAAGCTTAAAAAATAGCAAGAAGACTTCTCTCATGCTTTCATGTTTAAATTTAGACATGGAACAAGAAGAAACATTTTCACAAAAGCTGAGAAAGTGTTAATAGTGTTCTTTAAAAACAAAGAGCACAAAGGGTGGAAAGAGACCAAAACGCAGTTCTTAAGAATTACTTCTTGGTGCAACAATTGTTAAGCCTAAATAGAGGCTAATATGTGGGTTTCTTTTGCAGGAGCAGAAAAATCTCTGTAGCACATTCATGAAAGTTTCATAAAACAAAACCAAAAGCAGCAATCATCCAAAAACAGCTCCATTTGTTGTATCTTAATAAATGAGGACTTGATAACATAAAGAATAGGAAGTTGATGTAGCCACACCCTGCATAAGCATAAATAGAACAGATACTGCGATTATCTCTGTGGAGAAAATATTATTAATATTCCATACTGTGGAGAATTACAAGAGATGGGGGTGGGGGGAAAGGACATCAGTGTAAAACCTTACTGGAAACTAGTGACCTTAATGAAAACATTGCCAGCCTTAAATGTTTAGAAATTTTTGTGTGTCTGATTATTATGCATCTAAAACTAAAGCATTCTTTGAAAATACAATACTGCATATTATTTGCAAAGTCATGTGTCAGTCTAAATGAAAGGGGGTTGTTCCAACACACAAAATTTACCCACTAGAGAATCCTACCTACTAACATTATTCTAGACACCTAGGTTAGAGACAGACATTACACACAAACCAGTTTAAGTGATCAGAAACCTGTAACCTGTTTAAACCTGTAACAGAACAGATGTTCAGTACATATAAACCAGTTTGAAAACAGCTGAAACCAGTTTGAGATAAACGTGGTTGAATGCAGTATCAGACTTAACTGATTTGGGTCAAACCAACTTATGCAATATCTGTCCCAGACCCCTTGCTGGCTTAAGATAAACCAGACAGACACCCCCAGCATCCCGGCATGCTCTCTGGGCTGGGTGGGGCTCTCTGCTCCACAGCAAGGCTGGCCCTGCCCCTCTGCTCCCTGGCCACAGCTCCAGCAGAGACCTGTAGGCACAGAGCATTTGCCTGGCTTCTCCCTGCTAAACAGGGATTATTCCCCCTGCCCCTATGCCTTACACAGACACCTCAGCATTAGCTAGAAGACCACTTGCTGGCTACGGTCCATGCTGTGGGAGATGACAGGCAGACAGGCTTTTTGGACCTTATCACCAGGTCGCTTAATGTCCTTCCTTGGAAGATCTGTTTAAGAAGAACCCCATTAGTTAATGGAGAGAGGCTTTGTTTTCTTAATGGGTTGATAAACACTGAGTTAGGGGTGATAAATATTCCCTGCCCTGCTGCTTAGGAGAGGAGAGAATAATCAGAGTGTCCTGCTAGGGCCTGGCCACACCTCCCTCAGCTCAGCCCTGCTGAAAGGAAGGGAGGGCTGCTCTAGCATCCCTGACCTCTAGCCTGAGCCACTGCAGGCATGTGCCTGCATTTCTGCGATGTCAGTCTGGTTACAAAACTGATTTAGCCTAGCCAAGTTAGACTATCCTGCAAAGACTGAATCAATTCAGGCTCAGGCTTTTTGAACGTCTGTCCCTAGCCCTAAGAATTCTGACAGACCTTACTCCTATTTGTTCCCAGCTTTTGGGCTGATGCTATTTGCAAACAATATTAAAGACCATTATGTAGGAATGCAGTTAAAAACAGCAGAATGTGCAAAGTAGCAGTATTCAGCAATTTAACAGGTCGAGTAAGCACAGTACAGAATAGAGTTTGGTTTTTTTTGGTCCTGATAGTTATTGCATTTTTGCTCTGATGGTCCATTCAATTTTTTGCTATACAGTTCCTCACACTGGTGCTTGCTCTGCCAAGAGTGCAGGGCTCCTATAAGGGAGCCTATAAGGGCTCCTATATTCTGGCCATAAAGCAGCTGAAAGAACACAGCTTGATTTCTCAAATCAACATATTTGTAGCACCAGCTGATCCTGTGTCATCTGCTCACCTGTAATTGGCAAAAATTTGGCTTGGAAGATAACAAAAGGAAACACAAAACCCCATGATGGCATGTGAATCTTTGGTTAAAAACCACACACACATGCACACACACACAGAAGCAATCCAGACTACAGCCAAAGGAAAGAAAGGTGAGCAGGGAAGAGGAGAACAGAGAAAAAATGTTAGTGCAGTATTAAGTTTTGAAGACCTAGCACTTCACAGTGCTTTTAAAAATGTTTGCATAGCTTTGGGTATGACACTTATCCAAAATTAATTTCACCTGCTATAGTAACAGATTAAAACACATTGTTGTTCTGCCTTGTACTTTGGAAGGCTTTCAGAAGAACACAGTAGGGACCAGGAAAAGGAAGCAGCACAGCAAAGAATGTCCTCTGCCTAGAAACAGCATGCATGGGGTTTTTAAGCTGCTTCTTGCAGGTTAGCATAAGCAGCAGCAGATGGCACCAAGATTCAATTACAAAACATGGCATGCATTACACTATAGCTAAACTACCCAGGGGATGAGAGGAATGAAAGGAAAGTGAAACCAACACAGAGGGTTCTTTACAACTGCATTTATCACCAGTCTAGAGATGTGTGTGGTATCTGTATGCAAGTAGGAGTGATTGCGCGGGGTGGGGGGGAGCCTTCTCACTATTTTTGAAAAATAAGCCAAAGCACCTTTCCTTTGTTGATTTGAGTTGAACTGAGTAGATGCCTTATCTCAGAAGCATCAAACTCATCTGGCCCCAAGGGTCAGATGAGTGGAAAGGAACCAGTTCATGGGCTGGATGAACAATATGGGGCTGGCCCTGTCTCCCCCTCCCCCAACATGCTGGATCCTGTCCCTGGTTCTGGGACCTGCACTGTGCAGGGCATGTCCCCAGAACAGCCAGAGCAAGTGCTAGATCCAGCATGTGAGGTGCAGGAGGGGGAAGGTGTGGTCTCAAACCCTGTGCCAGTGCCATATACAACTTGTAGTCCTGGAGAAGGTGCTGCATGTAGCATGTCCCAGACAGGCTGGGGTGGGCACTGCATGTAGTTCATGTCCTGGGCCCTATGTGTGCAGGGCTGGTCCAGTGCATGCCATGTATGTGTCAACTGGAGATGCAACGGCAGCACCAGGGGCTGGATGCTGAGGCTCCACAGGTGCCATATTTGAACAGTCAACAGTCTAGTACTTTTAGAAGAAGCAAGTCCAACGTTAGAAAATAATTGTTTCAGCACCAAGTCAAAAGGTAGAGAAAAAGCTGCAATCTGTTTCTGAACTGATGCCACAAAGTCAGACAAGAGGCATTTTCAGCACAGAGGTGAAAAGAAGAGATTGTACCTACATGAATAATTTGCCATTTTTAATTCTCTGCATAGAGGGCTCCTATACCCATGCAGGGAGCCTGCTCTCACGTGGTGGAAATCCAGTGCATCAGAACAGACTCAATTAATCAAGTCAGCTGAAGCATGAAAATTAACATACTCCAGCAGCCTCACATGTCACGTGCATCAGTGTCGCCACATGTCTCCATGCTGACAAAATGGCAGTGGCATGCTTTGAAACAGAAACACATCTGATGAGTTTTAGTTCAAAGTGCAGGGACACATGGCAACACTGATACATGCGACACAGCCACTTTAATTAGAGAGTCATACTAATTAAAAGTGCCCAGCACACTGGGAACACACGTAAAAATGTCGTAACAGTCTACTGTTAATTGACAACAAGAGCCTAAAATACTAAACCTAAACATGTCCGAGATGCATTTCAAAATATAAAGCAGGCACTGGCAGAAAGGAAAAAAGGAATAGCCACAAAGTTACCTGAGGGCAGAATTTGGTCTCGTTCTTTTAAAGTAATCCATGGCCTTGCAGGCAACTGCTCTGGGTGAACTGAAACATTCAGAAGAGCAATGAATTTAGTACTTATCAATATAAAAATTATCATTTTAATTTACAATCCAAACTGATGCCTCAACAAGCGTTTCAGACTGTGCTACACTAACCCAGAGAGAAGATACACCCCATTCACATGAAATCTATCAACCTATTTAAAGCTTAGGAAAAAAGACAAATTGGGGGGCGGGGGGGGGGGGGAGGGGGGGGGGGGGGGGGGGGGGGCAGGTAAAACCTCATTCAGAAGACACAAACATGAATTCAAGAAAAACAGCGAGTTCAGCAATCAGATGGGTCCCCCATGACTTCTCCTAGAACTTCTTTACTAATCTTAATAGTTCATAAGACCATTACTGAAACGTCTCTACTGTTAGGTAAGACTGCTTCTCAGAAAATATGCTTAATCAGTCATCTGGGGTGCTGGCAGACATAGGGGGGAGAGGGTGGGGAGAAACAAAAAACCACACAGCAAAAACAAGACAAAAAAAAAACACCCCACTACCAGAAACAGCAGTGCATTATTTCAGCATGGCTCCACAGGATCTATATAGATTGGGTGCTTCAGCAGGGCTTTTTGGCACTTTTAGCTAAAGCTGATTCAATCAGCTATTAGATAGAAGTGCCAAAAAAGCCCTACTAAAGCACCCAGTCTCTACAGATGTTGGAAAAGCCAGATGCAACCAACGTGCTGCCTCTTCTGGGCATGCGCTGGGCTCGGCATGAGAGTGTGTGCCGAATTTAAAGCAAGCGCCATGTTTGGATTTTTTTCCATATCTACACGCAGCTAAGGTTTAGATACTAAAATTTATCTTCTAGGACCTTGTTCACAAGATAACTCATCTGCATACATAATATGGATGACAAAAGGAGGTTGCTTTTGGATTCAATTGTTTTTGGGTTCAAAAGAAGGTGTCAAAACATGTGGGGATGGAACAATCAAGTTCCACTGTGAGCAGCTCAGGTATAAAAGAAAACTTAACAGTTTGTAATTATAATTCAATTCCTTGAACTGCAAAATGCTAGCAAGTCATATCAAGGCATAGAACACCAATATTTAAAGAACACATTAGCTGAGAAAACTTACTAAGATTTTTATTTAGTGTTTCTTCCAGACAGAAAGTCTCTTGTGAACATCAAATGCATTTTTAAAGTAATCATCCAAAATTTCAATTTATGTTTAAAATGTTTATGGGTTGGATTCCTTTTGACCTATAAATTTCTTTGATGGTAAAGCAGTGACTAAACTATAAACTAGCAGTTCCCAAACTATGGGTTGCAACCCCAAATGAGGTCATGCTGAAGAAAAGTTGGGGAAGCACTGCTATAAATCAATAGACAATTAAACACCAGTGTTTGGAGCTCTTTTATTCACGAGGTATTTCTAGACTGAAGCTGATAGGCAACTCAGTCAAGCTGCTGGCAAAATCACCTTCATAGTTGTGAAAAAGTATCAAAAGAAAGCACTGGAAATTAGATGCCCTCTACTTTAAAAACAGGTTATAAATAGGGGTGCACTGAGAGATTTTGGAGGACGATACCAATAGCCGATTTTTAAGGAGGCATATTGCTTAGATACAGGAGTGGAGACAGACGTTATTTACTTGGATTTTAAAAAGGCTTTCGACACAGTGTCACACCCAATTCTCACAAGCAAACTGAGTAGCTGTGATGTGGATTTTTTCACAGTAACATGGGTGAAAAATTGGTTTATGTGATGCACCCAGAGAGTGGTGGTGGATGGGTCAGTTTCCCCCTGGAGAGATGTGGGCAGTGGTGTCCCCCAGGACTGTCCTTGGACCAGTACTGTTCAATATCTTCATCAGTGATTTGAACGAGGGTGTTCAAAGCACTCTGTCCAAATTTGCAGATGACACCAAACTACAGCAAACACAATGGAAAGCAGGGAGCAAATTCAGGCGGATTTGGACAGACTGGGGAAGGGGGTGGATCAGAATAGGATGCAATTTAACAAGGATAAGTATAAGGTGCTGCACCTGGGGAGAAAGAATCTCCAATACAACTATAGACTTGGAAGTACCATTCTGAGTAACACGGCAGTGGAAAGGGATCTCGGAGTCATAGTCAACGCAAAAATGAACGAGCCACCAATGTGACGTGGTAAGTAAGGCTAACTGCACTCTTTCTTGCATTAGTAGGTGCATCACGAGCAGGTCTAGGGAGGTGATACTTCCTCTCTATGCAGCACTGGTGAGACCACAGCTGGAGTACTGCGTCCAATTTTGGGTGCCGCACTTCAAGAGGGATGTAGATAACCTTCAGAGGGTTCAGAGGAGGGATACTTGTATGGTTGAGGGCCTGCAGGTAAGATCCTATGAAAACAGACTGAGAGACCTGAATCTCTTCAGCCTCTGCAAGAGAAGGCTGAGAGGTGATCTTGTGGCTGTCTACAAACTCATCAGGGGGTGGTGGGGGTGGTCAGCAGGGAATAGGGGATACTCTGTTTACCAGGGCACCCTTCCGGGTTTCTAGAAATAATGGCCACAAACTGAAGGAGAGTAGATTTAGATTGAATATCAGGAAGAAATTCTTTACCGTGAGGGTTGCCAAAATATGGAATGGGCTTCCAAGGGAGGTGGTGCTCTCCCCTACCTTGGGAGGTGTTCAAGAGAGACTGGACAAGCACCTGGCTGGGGTTACTTAACCCCAGCGCTCTTTCCTGCCTGGGGCAGGGGGTCGAACTCGATGATCTATTAGGTCCCTTCTGACCCTAGAAATCTATGAAATCTATATTGGCCGATACTGATCCGATTTCCAATACAGCTGCGTGCAGCTGGTAAGTTCACTGTGGTGGGGGGAGAGGGAAGAGGTATGAGGGGAGAAGATCAGTGCCCCCCATGGTAAGGGAGGGAGCAGGGGAAGGTGCTGCCCAGCCAGGGCGGGGCACAGGATGGAGCCACAGCTTGTGCCATTACATGCACCCTGGAGGGCATGGGAGGCATGCGCCCCTGGACCTGCATGTGTCAGGGTGGGTGGGCTGCAACCATGGGCTGGAGCCGGGATCTTCTTGGTGGGGGCTGGGCTCAGGGCAAGGGCTACGGAAGGGGCTGGAGCTACCCTAGATTTCACTGTAGCCCTGCTCCCAGCTGATACCCACCCAGCGTAGCCCTGACTCTTCCTTGGTGTGTGGGTGGAGGTGGGGTGTTGAGCCAGAGCTGTGCCAGGTGGGTGGCAATGGTGGTGCTGGGAGCGGGGATATGGCGAAATCTGGGATGGCTGCAGCCCCTTCGTAGCCCCTGCCCTGAGCCCAGCCCAGCACAGCCCCAGCTCCAGCCCACAGCTGCAGACCGCCCCACCCTGCCCAGATCCAGGGGCACACGCTCCTCCCGCGGCTCTGTCCCAAGCCCTGCCCCATCCCAGCTGGGTAGCACCTGCCCCTACCCCCTCCCTCACTGCAGGGAATGTAGATCTGCTGGCACCCCTTCCCTCCCCTTCCACCACAACAAATTTACCAACTGCATGCAGCTCTCCATGCTGCCAGCTGTGCTTTTCACTACCCGTGTGCTGTGCTGCAGCTGCACACACGCACAAGCATTTATTGGCCAAATTATTGGCTGTATCAGGCCGATTTCTGATACAGCCTATTTTCTTTATATTGGTACTGATCTGGTATCAGACGGTTTTTATCGGTGCACCTCTAGTTATAAAGCCAGGAGAGTGTCTCAGCAAGCTTTTCCCGGTGTCATTCAGGTTTGGTACCAGAACATCTGAGTGAAATGTTAGCTTCATTCCTCAATCCATTTAATCTTGGGCCATTTGGTGATGATCAACAACACTGCCAGTTTAGATTAAGATTTAGGGAATCATATGTTGTTTCACCCACTTCTCTGAGACGTGTGCTTGTGCATACATGAACACACACAAACTGCTTTGGAAAAGCCGTACCTTTTTGTCTCTATCACCACTGAAATAAAACACAAATCCACAAACAAAAAACTAGGAATCCAGGTGAAAAGGGCCACATGTCCCAGAACAAAACCAGGGCTATCTTGATAAAGATATTTCTTTATCCTCTACCACTGGTTGATACAATGCTACAAGCCTGTATTTATTTCATGGCAGTACACAGACAGTAAAAAGCAGTCAGAAGGGAATCGATGCAGACCTTAAATTTAATGAGATTAAATACAAGAAGAGTGAAAGCATTCTGGAGCTCATTAGGACTAGTAAACTTCTGGCTTTGTTACCTGCTAGATTGTCAAGCATGTAGTTCAGTAGCTTACGTGTTCCATCTGGGTCCTGGTACAGACTGAGAATATCCTGCGATAAAGGATTGCCTGCAAGGGATTCATAACAAAAAATGCAATAATTAAGCTCTCTGAAACACAACTTGCAACTTAATTGAACTTTCCAACCTCAGAGGGGATGGGTCCAATGATCCTGTAGTACTTTTCCTTTTAGTGTCTACCTTGTGAAGATGAATGTTAGAGAAATAGCTAGTATAAAATATTTTTCCTTCAGATCATTTCACCTCACCTGTACCAGAAACTGGAAAAGTCTGTTCTTGGCAAGAATGAAAAGAAAAAAAAAAAAAAGAAAGAAAGAAAAGCATGTAAAGGTTCTCTTTGGAAACGGAATTTGTGCACTTAATTTTTGTACCAATACGGAGTTATAGAAGGGTTTTGTTTTGTTTTTTTCCTTTTTCCATGCTGAGAGGTAGGAAGATTGGGAAACCTCTCAAAGCAGACACACTTCTTGTAGCTAAATGAGCTCTTGCATACCTGCAATCTGAAAAACTGAACCATTAAAAACACCTGGGCACTTGCATGGACACCACCCAGACAAAAGAGCAGCATTAAGTCTTACTAAGAGAACTGCTTGATATTGCCTTTCAGGTCAGCTTCCCAAGGAAGGAACCCACCTTATTGCACATTTCAAGCTTCCCCATTCTATACATTTTGTTTGCAAGCCCCAAACCTTGAGAGATTTGAACAGAAGATAATCATATTTCTGTGCATACTGAAGGTCACCATACTTCCAAAACAATTTTAGGATTAAATAAAAAGGTTTTCATAAAGGAAAGCCCCAGGATAAATACAATCCAGACCACAAGACTTTAAAAGTCTCTGTAGAAACTGTGTAAAATGTTAAAAGTTATGATTAGGAGTTACCCAAAATCCTCAAGATGCTTTAAAAAATTACCAGAATTTGAAAAAGTAAACTCTCTCAAAATACTCAATACTAGCCTCATAAGAAAGTTTTTTTCTCCCCCCTTTTGGATAGAAAGCCTCTCTCTACTTTTATATAAAAAAATAAAATAAGACACGCTGGCTTGAAATCTTACTCTACTCTCCCTTACCCACAAGGGAGGGGCGTGGGGTTCTAATCTTCCTGCAGGTTTTTTTCCTTCCACCTTGGACTGAGTTGAAAGTCAAATATGTATTTCATATCTTTAGCCTTTGAAGATTTTCCTCTTGAAAGATATGTATAAAGATCATATTAAGTGGTTGTTATGTGACTATATAACCACTGGAGCACACCACAGTGGATGGAAGTATTCTCTTCTGCTAGGGCAGGGCTGCTGGGCCACATGTGCCCCCCTAGTGGTTAACTCACATCCAGGCACTGTTCCCCAATAGTTCTGTTGCTACAGGTGTTTTTGGACTTCCCCTCCTTCCCCCACCTTCCACTTCCTGTCCCCAGCCCAAGGGGCAGAGTGGCACGGCTCAGCAGGTCAGCATGGAGGACCCATGGCCCATTCAGCATGTAGCCCCCAACCACTCAGAGGTTGGGCAGCTCTTTGCTAAAGGAGGGGACATTCCAATGCTTTTTGCTCTAACCTCCATTGCATTCATAGTCTCTTTGCTCTCAGAAAGCCCTGAAGTGCTTTCTTTTTTTACATCATCTCCATGAAAGATGATGCATCTTTTACAGTAAACTGTGATTTTCATAAGGAGACCAGACGACAGGAATCTGACCTCATTCCTAACAGTTCATCTTCCTCTGAAATAGTCTTCCACCTTTGCCTCTCTATCTGTAGGCAGCTTTCAGATGCATTCAAAAACCCTTTTGAATATTTTTTATTTTTAATTATTCTGCAGTCCGTAAACTGGAATAAGATATTAACACAATACAGCTCTTGGAAAGTTTTTAGTAGAGCAGATGTAGATAATGAATTTATAGAAGAAGGTTCAAGCACAACATACACTGTTCCACTGATTAAGTGCAACTTCCAGGAACTAAGCTAAGAGGTTTCTGAAACAAGAGCATCTGAAATAGCCATTCGTGCCAAATGTTTAAGGTATGGCTTATTCTGGAATGGAGTCTTGGGGTGCTATGCAAAGTCATACAGCCCAACAATATCACTCCGCACTTACAAAAAAAAAAAAAAAAAAGTCTCTTACCTTTCAAACCTAGGGTTTGTAGCTGGAAGAGCCGTCCAAGTTCATAAGGCAAAACCCGTAACAGATTGTTATTTAAAAGCAATTCCCTACATAAAAGACAAGAGAGCAGTTATTAACATCTTCTTAGCATATAATGTCAGAACAATTATTCTTATGCACCCTTATAACCTTTTCTAGTTCTTTGTAAGTAGCAGCATCACAACTCTTACATTTTATAGTTCTTTATTCTTGAATTTAAAAGTTAATATCAGAAGAGAAAAGAGACACCATGTAGTCAGAAAAGCTCATTTTTGGGACCACATCAAAGCAAGAAACTATATTAGCACACTAGTCCTTAATAATAAATGGGCAGTCAAATTGAATAAGGAGAGAAAAGGGTTGAGGTTTTTTTGTTTTAAGACCTTAGCATACATTTTGCTTGAAAGAGGAGAGGTATTATCTTGTGAGAGAGGGAGCCATAATTCCAATTTCACCACGATCCTTCGTTGAGCAAGAAGACAGTAAGGTAGTCTATCCTTAGATGCAAAGTCAAATTGGGTACAGCTGTTATAGGCAGATTCAATGTAGGTTTTATATTTTGCTTATTAAGATTTGGAAAATATATGAAAATGCAAAAGCAATATATAGAGCATTCAATTTAAAGTAACTACCTGTAGAATTATAATTTTGGAGAGTTAGGCTGCATCCACACAAGCGTGGACATTTGGTTCCCCAGGGACAACTAGAAGTGGCGCACCTTACATTCCCTGGGAAACACCTGTGCCATGTGCCCTCTGGCATGCAACAGGTTACCACAGGTGGGGTAGGGTTAGGGTTAGGCTGACCCCAGCAGCTATTAGTTGTAAGATGGCTAAGAGCCAGCACTGAAAAATTTTAAGAATGAACAGTAAGAAGGATTCTGGCTCAGCATAATCAGCAAATAGACTGTACAAAACAGTGGCCAGCCATATCAAAAATATGGAATAAACAATTTAAATCGAAAAATCCATGGGCACCATCATGGACCAAACAGCTTCATGGATTGTTGCATCTTTGACACCCATGCCTTAAAATAATGTTTGCCTTGTCCAGCTAACATTAATATAAGCACTGAATTTTTCAGACTAGATTTTTCTGAAAAATTTGAGGAGGGAAAGTCAATGTTCCTTTGGTCCCCAATCTCTAGTAGACAGGTGCTTGGGATGTTATCCAGAATAATTCTTCTCACCTGAGAGATACCATGTTTCCTAGTTCTGCTGGTAAACTTCTAAGTTTATTGGATGACAAATCCAGGTAAACCAGATTATGGAGCTTGGCAATATCAGGTGGAATGCGAGTAAGATTATTGTCATTGAGGTGAAGAACAGTCAAGTGCGTCAGTGACCAAAGTGATGTACTTAAACTCCGCACTCTACCTAAAAAAAGAGGAAACAAGGAAACAAGTCTTCAGACAGCTTTTTACTCTCAAGCAGAGATGGTGGGCACAAATAAGGGTTACATTTTCAAGGTACTGTGTTTGAATTCAGATACACAAATCCTACATTTGGCCACAGAACGTGCAACTATTTGATTCCTTACCCTAAACCACACGGAAATTCTCCCCAAGACAGAAGAATTAACTTTGAATTAGTCTATAATTTGTTTTTGTTTTTTTTACTAGCCTTCTTTAAATAACTATCCAGTGCTAGTTTAAGCAGGAAGGAGAAATGGAAAGAAAAGAAAGAATTTAAATTTCGAAACAAATCTGCTGGCAAGATAGTCACTAGGGCCGTGTGAAACTTCGGTCCCCGATTCAATTCAGCGGCCAAATCTCTGAATCCGAATCGAAATCAGGAGGACCCTTTAATCTCTTCCCAGCCCGCCGGAAGAACTTCCGGTCTACTTCCCAGTCCGCAGGGGGTCCCCCTCACACCCCCCCAGCTCGACAACTGGTGCCTCCTGGATCTGGAGGGGCACCCAGGGTCCCCCCGCAGCCCATTGCTGAGCTGGGGGAGGCACCCAGCACGCTTGGCAGTGGACCTGGAAGTAGACCGGAAGCAATTCCGGTTCACTTCCAGGTTTGCAGCCGAGCACATGGGGGGACCGGAGCAGAACGCTTCTGTGGGACGCTCCATCCACCCCACCATCGCAGCATTCACGAGCTGTGCCTGGTACCTCAAGGTATGTAGAAGAAATATTTAAAGCCGTGTCTACAGCCGAATCACCGATTCTCTGAATCAGTGTCGAATCTTCAGATTCGGCCGAATTGAACAGGGGACAGTGATCCGAATCAACTAATCGAATCACTGTCCCTGATTCGACCCAAATCCAAATCAAATATGGCCCATTTTGCACACCCCTAATAGTCATTTAATAGTTTATAGAAATTCAAAATGTAACATTATTTTGAAAAAAATAAACTAGAAATTCTAGCCACCCCCACCTCTATAAAGAACCAACATCTTAATTCTAGGTTTTCAAGCAAGTAAAAGTTCAAATAAACATTGTACTACGATAGTTGTATTCTAAATAATCTGGCATTTAGCCAAACCAAGATTTGAAAGAGACTTACCCGAGATTTCTAATTCTGCCCAGTGAGACTTCTTCCCATTGGCTAACTCCTCTGCTGACATGATGGTATAAATTCTGCGAGGATCTGGAGGATCATATTTTTCCTTTGGCATCCCTGTTAGTCTGAAAGATTGCCAGGATTAGTACCACACACAGTTGAAACAAAATATTTTGCGTCTAGCCACCCAACAGAATATTCTTCACAGCCTCATACTAGAAAAAGCATGTACTTAATTTTGTGTACTGAAAATAGTTCCATGTTGACATGGTAGGGGACCTCCAGATCGGTAGCCATCTGGGGGTCAGTGATCACCTAATAATAGAATTCACCATAAGACGTCGAGTGGGTAAGGTAACTAGTAGGGTGAAAGTGCTAGACTTTAGGAAAGCTGATTTCAATGAACTCAGGCGATTACTCAAGGACACACTGCAGAGTAGGAGTTTTGAAGTGATGGGAGCCCAAGAAGGGTGGCTGTGCCTTAAGGAAATGATCCTTCGGGCACAAAGCAAGACGATCCCCGAGCGAGGCAAAAGGGGGAAAGGGGCCAGGAGGCTTCCCTGGCTGACCAGAGAAATCCAGGGCAGCCTAAGGGACAAAAGGGGAGCACATAAAAAGTGGAAACAGGGAGAGATCACCAAAGACGAATATACCTCCTCTGCTCGTGCTTGTACGGAGGCAGTTAGACGGGCCAAAGCTGCCATGGAGCTGAGGATGGCAACCCAAGTAAAAGACAACAAGAAATTGTTTTTTAGATATATAGGGAGTAAAAGGAAGGCCCAGGGAGGAATAGGACCCCTGCTAAACAGGCAGAAACAATTGGTGACGGACAGGGGGGGGACAAGGCTGAACTCCTCAACAAGTTCTTTGCCTCAGTGTTCCTAAGTGAGGGGCATGACAAGTCTCTCACTGGGGTTGTAGAGAGGCAGCAGCAAGGCACCAGACTACCATGCGTAGACCCTGAGATGGTGCAGAGTCATTTGGAAGAACTGGATGCCTTTAAGTTGGCAGGCCCGGATGAGCTCATTCCGAGGGTGCTGAAGGCACTGGCCGACATCATTGCAGAGCCACTGGCGGGAATATTTGAAAGCTCGTGGCACACAGGCCAAGTTCCGGAGGACTGGAAAAGGGCCAACGTGGTCCCCAGTTTCAAAAAGGGGAGGAAGGAGGACCCGGGCAACTATAGGCCACTCAGTCTCACCTCCATCCTTGGCAAAGTCTTTGAAAAAATTATCAAGGCTCACATTTGTGAGAGCCCGGCAGGACAAATTATGCTGAGGGGAAACCAGCACGGGGTCGTGGCAGGCAGATCGTGCCTGACCAATCTAGTTTCTTTTTATGACCAGGTTACGAAACGCCTGGACACAGGAGGAGGGGTGGATGTCATATACTTAGACTTCAGGAAGGCCTTCGATACGGTATCCCACCCCATACTGGTGAACAAGTTAAGAGGCTGTGACTTGGATGACTACACAGTCCGGTGGGTGGCGAATTGGCTAGAGGGTCGCACCCAGAGAGTCAT